ACGAAAAATGGGTGCCTCATGATTTGACTGATCTGCAGAAAGAAACGCGTGTTGAAACTTGTGTTGCCTTGTTGAACCGGTACAGAAATGAAGGAATATTGGATCGAATTGTAACATGTGATAAAAAGTGGATTCTTTATGATAACCGGAAAAGAAAAATGCAATGGCTGACCCCAGGTCAAATGCCACAACAGTGTCCTAAAGCAAACCTTACCAATAAAAAGGTAATGGTAACTGTTTGGTGGTCTCAGCATGGTGTTATTCACTATAGTTTTCTCCGATCTGGTCAAGCAATAACGGCAGATGTCTATTGTGCCGAACTCCGAACCATGTTGACAAAACTAGCAGTAAAACAGCCCCGACTCATGAATCGATCTTCACCATTATTGCTCCACGACAACGCGAGACCTCACACAGCACGAGAAACCATTTTGACCCTTCAGGAACTGCAGTTAGAAACCATTCGTCATCCTCCGTATTCACCAGACCTTGCTCCAACGGACTACCATTTTTTTCGTGATTTGGACAATTATCTACGTGACAAGAAGTTTTCTTCCCAGGAGGCAGTACAAAATGCTTTCACACAGTTTGTGCAGTCTAGATCGTCGGAGTTCTATCGCAAAGGCATTAATAACCTTCCCATTAGATGGCAGCAATGTATAGATAATAATGGCAACTATTTTGATTAAATAAATTTGGTAAAAATTTAAAAAATAAACAATTTAGATTTTCAGTACAAATCGGCAATTTCATACTTTAACCCCTATTATGATCTCTACGTGTAGCATAGCACTGGGGCACCCTGTACATTTTGAGCCCTCGTATTTTGCAATGAATATAGATACACACATCAAAAAAAGTTTGCGATCAATAGCATAAGCTCCTATAATTCTTTAAATTTAACTTTATCAAGAAAAAATCTATGTTGTATGCTTTCTTTAAATAGGAATACCCTGTTTGAAATTAAAATATAAAACTATTTTTTATTATTTATTTTAAAAAATTGAGCCATTAATCATAATGTAATAGTGATAGAAATTTCATAGAAAGAAAAAGACTGTTTAATTAAACTTAAACAACTATTTATTATTAAAAGGTGTGAATTCAATATAAAATAACTCCTCCCCTGGCTCGAATACATGCGAAGATCCTCCTGGGCATGATGAGGATCAAGTTATCCAGCATTTCCTGGGGTAACCTATCCCATTCTTCAATAGCGCTTCCCTGATCTCTGGAACTGTCTGGGGACGTGGCTCACGGTTCCATACTACTCGTTTAAGAGCATCCCACGCGTGCTCTATTGGGTTTAAGTCGGGCGAGCCGGCAGGCCAGTCTAATCGTGTGATATCGTATTCTTGAAGAGCAGCATTGACTCGTTGAGCTCGATGTGCGGGCGCATTATCATCGACCAGTACAAATTGGTGCCCATGGTTTACTCGGAATGGTCTGACGATATCATCAATAGGAACTGCTTTGTACATGTCTGCTGTCATGAAGCCCCGAGACGGGATCAAAGGCGTTCTAGCTCCAATCATAATGCCACCCCAAAAGGACACCGATTTTCCGCCTTGCTGAACTGTTCCAGTGGCAGTTCTTTGTCTTTCACGGTCGCCTGGTCTTCTCCAGACACGGACACGTCGGTTATCTGGATGAGTGCTGATTCGGGATTCGTCAACGAAGAGACAGTTTTGCCAAATGTTTTCGTCCTCACCTTCTTCATTTTGCCGAAGTCTAGCCCACTGCAATCTTCGTTGTTGACGTTGCCGGGAATTGAGCGGAGCTCGCCAAGACCTCCGTGCTCGTAATCCAGCCTGGTGCAAGCAATTGCGAACAGTCTGCGTGCTAACTTCAAGCCCAGAGGCGGCCCTGACTTCTGCTTTTATTTTAGTGGCGTTGATTGTTGGATCACGGGCTGCCAGCAATCTAATATAGCGCTTTTGGGCAGCTGTCAAAACAGTTGGGCGACCGCTGCGGGGTCGGTCAGCTAAATTCCCCATTCCGTGATACCTCTGCAACGCAGCCACGACACAGGATTGGGATATAGCAAGTCTGCGTGCTATTACTCTCGTGGTGTATCCTTCTTCCCTCAAAGTTACTATTCTAGCTCGTAAAACCTCTGATAATCCTCTTGGCATTTTTTCAATCACAACTTTCCGCGAAAAATATCTTGAATCGCTTATAATTGACTAAATCAGATTTCTGAATGAGCGTAAGCTAGGACTGAAAGCCTTTTTATATGAAAAAACAATTGAACGGGGTCATTGTTTTATGTTCTAATTTATTTTTAAATAAAGAATCTAAAAAGAAGAAAAAATCATAATATAATCTACAGTAACAAAAAAGATTTCAGTTTTTCGAAGTGATCGCAAACTTTTTTTGATGTGTGTATGAACAGTGGTTTTTAAACGTTGTTGTTTTAAACATAAATCGCTATTCATTAAAATTTTTCTTTTAAAATGTTATGTTTATTTTGTACACTCAATAATACATAGAGTTGCGCTGTATATTATACACCTTATAAATATAACGACACGATGCTATAGCATGCAAAATTACTTTCACACAACATAATTGTTCATTTACATAATGATTGCTGAATAATTATGACAAAGCCGTTTTTATTATTTCCACATTACGCTTAACAAGTTTTTTCTAATCTAAACAGGGTAATAATTATTTTTTATAAATATTCTAGTTTCTAGGGTAAAAAAGTAGTCTTAATCATGTTTTTAAACATGGTAGTTAGATATATAAAAAAACCATTTCGATTATTCCCACTAGTTCTGTTATACAGTTTTATTGACAGAATTACTGGTATTTTTCTTCCCATTTGATCTGTAAACAAGTATATAGATTTTAAGACTTTCGTGGTTATTCACTAAATGATTATCACTAGTATCAGGTTTTTTACCACATTTCTTTTTATTTTCCCAATATATAAATAAGTAAACACTGTTCTTCACAGAACTACTGAACATTTATTCTCCCACTACTTCTGTGCTATTCGGCATGCACGTACGAAAATTGCCACGAAAAATACCACATTAACTTCAATTTTCATAAATAATTTTGTGAATTGATCCCACAGAAGGTATTTTAATTTTCAAGTCTATAATTTAAATTTCTGACTTAATGAATGACTGTTCATTTTAGTTTGATTAACTTTCAAAAATTTTATTTCATTTTGGTATGCAAACAATAAGTATAGGTACTTGGTTGATTTTGTTAGTGTTTATTTAGTAATGAGTAAACCAAAATAAATAGGCAATTTTCATTTGATTTGTTACTTTTTTAGTCTTTTATAAAAATAACGTAATTATGTTTCATTTTCTTTCATATTTTAGATAAAGAAACAACATTTGCGCTTCCGCGCACTTACAGCGTATGTTCAGCGTTAATAAAAGTTACATAATAATTTAATATAAAAAAAAAACAGGCAAAATAAGCCGAATCCCGAATAGTAACTGAATAATCGTTGCAACTCTAGGTATAACAACCTATTCAAATCATAAAGAACGTGTATCTAAACTAAGTTACTTATTCTACCAAACAATTATTCAGAAATAATAAATATTTGCATACTTCGGCAGTTCACCAAATTGCAAAACAATTCAAACGGAACAGCGAACAAACCGTCATTTCAAAATAAACTTACATAATCCTGTTATTTAATCCATGCATCTATCGCCCGATGTTCAGAATAGTAGCTTCTACGACTACTTGAATCGAATGCTCGCTCGAGAAATCCGAAATCCGAAAGCCCCTAAGAGGGAAGCTTGCTTAAAAGGCTTGCCAGAGCATTTCAGGCGCTTTAAAGATATCCAAAGACTCTGCAAGTGCTTCGCGTTATTCATCTCGCTCGATATGTGAGAGGTACACACAAGAAGATCCCCCGTAGATCGCCCTCTTCGGAATCCATACTAGCGATCACTACGGAAGTCGTTGTCTTCAAACTACAATAGGACACGTTTCCTAATATTGCAGAGTATGGAAATGACTGAGATAATAAAAAAGTAGTTTGATTTTTTTTTCGTTGCTATCACCGTTATCTATTCGCATTTTAGTTTATTCTGTATGAAGGAGCACTTCAATAATGCAAGACGTGCGCCAACTTTCAACTGTTTACGAATTACGACACTCATAAACTCAAGTTACAATAGCAAGTCGTCTTAAATTTTTAATTCAATTGCCAATATCATCAGAGTTGGCAAATATTACTACAACTAATTTCCGACACAGGTATTTTTCAATATTAGTAAGAATCTTTATATTCCTAACTACACGCCGATGTACCTACTTACCTATTAAAGTAAAAATTCCCGCTTCCAAATTTTTTTTCGTTTACGTAGTGTTTAGTAACAAGGAAATTGACAATGTTATAGATGTTCACGATTGCCGAACAATTACAACCAGGGTATATAGTCTAATCTCTAAACTCTAGAAGACCTAGACAATGTCCCTTTGTATGTTTCACTATTTAATGAGGTTTTCGGGAAAATTATATTTTAAATGTTTTTCGTGAATTCTTACATTTTATAGTTTATTTTTATTATTTTCTTGATTTTTTAAAAATTATATGTAGGTATATGAAGTGTACTTTCATGCAAAAAGATAACCCTAATACTAACATAGCAGTTCAGATTTAAAGTTTAAAGCATAAAATTTACGTTCAAGAGTTTGCCAAAACTTTAACTATATTTGTATGGCCTACATTTATTTATCTCGGGAGTTTGGGTGTAATTTGTGGTTGTCTATGTGTGTGTGTCCATGGCACCCGCGACACAGGGTTTCCCTAGTGCGGGGCCATGTTGAGTGTGTGCGTTATTATTATTATTATTATTATTACTACTATATTGAATTATACGAGGTGCCCAGATTTTCCTTCGGACGGATCTTAACGAGCCACCCTATAAAATAAATAAAACACATTTTTTGTTTTTTAAATATTTTGATTGCTATAAGTTCACAGCCAAAACTCAATGGGATATTATTATTTTCAGATGAAGCCACCATACCATGGTACATGAGTTTATACTGGTACCTGTTCAACGTAAGCATGTCTTTGGCGCTTATGATTTCTGCACTCTACTGGCTCCTTCTCTTCGATTTTAGTGAGTTGACCCTGGTTATAGCCTAAATTGTCTAGTTACACTACCTTACTTTTCACCATTTCACACACGATAGATAAAGACATCAAAATAATTACCGTCGTCCATAGAAATTACTCGTAATTCTTTGTGAGAAATATTATAATATTACGGCCATTCCCACATTCAGTGTTCTCAGGCTAATTACCGTAACCATTTTGGTGTCCTCAGCCTAATTACCGTAGCCATTGTTTTTTCCTCTTAACTTTAAGCTTAACTATCAATATGTCTAAATGGCATTAGAATAGACAAAGTAGTTTTCGAGTTATTAAAACACGAATATTTTATAGAATTAGATCTAGTTACCGTAGCCGTGGATACGGTGATTAGAAAGTTCAAACATTTTTAATAAAAACCGACTATTTCTGACACAGCTGAATTAATATTTGTATATTTTGCTACATTTGGTTTATTTCTAATTTTATTCTAGTCTAGTTTAATACAAGTGCCATCCAAGATTTTTTTGAAATAAATTTAAAGTAGGTTTCTTAATATTTGGTTAGTGGTGAGTGGAGAGGGTTTGGTTAGTGAAGATTTAAAATTACTCAATTTTTTTCTTATGATTATTCACCGCTGTTACAAGAACAGTGTAATAATTTGCATTTTAATTATTTCTACCGATAAAAATGCTTAAAGTTAAAAATAAAATTATATCGGTGTAGTTAATTACAAAAAGTGAACGAAATTAAAATCAAAGTTAGTAATTAGTCTGCGAACACCGAATGTGAGAATGGCCGATTAGTGTCAACGTATTAGAATAAAGAAATAATCATCAACCCATTTATACGTCCCACCGCTGGACACGGGTCTCCTCCAGGCGAGGGTTCAGACCGTAGACCGCCACGCCGACTCAATGCGAGTTGCGGACTTCAAACTTTTTCCGAGGGTTGTGAACCTTCTTCGACGTACAGGTTTCATCAGGATGTTTTCCTTCACCGCAAAGCTTATGTTAAATTTCAAATTAAATATCGCACATAAATTCCAAGAAACTCAGCGGTAGGAGCCCGGATTCGAAGCCACTCTCTGTATTTGAGAGGCGGTAGGTCAAACCATTATCTAGGCTACCACAGCTTTAAACAATTTACAATACAAACTGCACTTTCAGAATATTAAAATGTTTTCTACCTGAACGCTCACTAGAGTCTAAACGATTAATCGATACGGTCAACTCTCCATTCTCTCTTTCATTACTCAAACGCAACGGAAGGAGATTAGAGAGGCGACTGAACTTTTAATATAGCCTCACTGACATGATTATGCTAATTGATATCCCGTAGTCTATACATTCTAAAAGGAAAACGCGTTCGACTAATAACCTTACATAATAAATGTAACCTTCACATGGCCTGCGAAGCGAAAGACGAGCGCATTCGGTTACGATAATTAGTATTCCCTTCACGCACCGAAACCCATGGCTTTCGTGGTGTAATATTCGTGAATTCCGCGCCTTTTGAAGATCTTGGATTATATTTACAGGTATGAAGAAAGAGGTGAGTACGAGGTTTTTTCTACTGGAAGTAGCAACACATGGCGTGAATTCGTGTCTAGTCTTGGTGGAAGTACTTGCAACGCGGATGCCGGTGCGTTTACTGCATATGTACCAGCCGCTTGGCGTGGGTCTCTGGTACCCTATCTTCAGCATCATCTACTACTGTGCCGGGGGTACAGACATGTAAGACGACTGATTAAAACACAGTAATAATAATTGCCCAAATTAATTGAAAAGCAATGTACCGAGGTCTATCTTTTAAAGGGGCAGTCAGAGGGGAAGTCAAGAAATCCGACATCCCTTTTATGTTTCCCCCACACGCATTGCATTTATAGGAATGCTTAAAAGAAGAATTTCATATGAAAGTAACGCCACATAAAATCCCCTCACTTATGTACTTATACACAATATTTTGAAGGCGTAATTGGCAGCCCTGTGCTAAAAAAGATGTACATACTTTCAGAAATGGTTTCCCCTTCATCTATCCCATTTTGGACTGGCAGCATCCGAAACGATCGTCCATAGTGGTGGTACTTGCTGTCATTGTAATGATGGCCATTTACCTGGTGCTCGCGGGAATAGCTTTCATCCGGAACAAGATCACCGAAGCAATATTCCACGCCACTACTGTCAAGACCTCGCAATCTAATGACTATATTATAGCTTAACCTCCTAAGACCCAGCGTTTTAAAAACTTTGTAGGGCTACAGACCCACTGTACAATTTTTCGTACATAATAAATATTTGTTGTCAGTCCCAGATCTACTTTACTTTGTAACTTTGAAATTCGAAGAGCTTTATGTGTGATACTATTTTTGCATATGTATACTATACACAAAGGTTATAATGACTTATATTAAATTCACTTATCATTTGTTCAAAGAATTGTACATTGGGTCTGAATCCACTGTTCCAACACAAAAGTTCGAACTAAAACTTAACATAAAATAAAAGACAGAACTTTTCAGAATGTTGTATAATTATAGCAAACATTATGAGTTTTATCTTAAATAATTAGTATTATTAATTTTTCATAGGAACTGTATCAAAGATTATAAAATATTTAAAAAAAACAGATCAATTACTCTGCTCTTTGGCAAAATTAACAAAATAAACTTGTATTCCTCAAATTAAAAACTAAATTGAAATCTTAATTCTTTGGCAGACATTAGTAACGCTATTTTGCGAAATCAAATAAGAATTTGCCATATATAACTCTACTGGACTAGCTCATGAAATTGCTTGTAACAATTTCGATTGGAAGTTAAACAAAGAGCTACATCGCAGGTACTACATTTCGCTGTAGTTCTCTTATTGCAGCCTGGTTGACGGCACCTATTTGGTACTCCCACAAAGATAGGCAGGTGTGGCCCATTTAATCTCCGCATCTTGGAAGGAAGAGGGACTACCGCTGGTCTACCTCGTTGGAAAGTGAGACCTGTTGTGCAATAAAATGAACAAATAAAAATCATTAGGATATGAAAGTGAGACCCGATGTGCAAAATAATGAACAAATAAAAAGATCGTTATGCAAATCTCCTGATTATGAACTGATCATTGAAATTATTATTTGCAAATAGTTTGCCATCTTTTGTTTACACACTGCCCAAAAATCTGACATGACAACAATAAAGATTCATTAGATTTATCAAGATTTAACTTACCTTTCCCTCGCGCAGGTGCCATGTTTGAACTTTTTCACCATATGATTTTGACAGTTCTAACTTTTTTTTTATTTGCTGCGCTTAAATAATTAAAATATATCTAAATGAACACTATGGTCTGTCAAAAAAAAGTCCGCGAAGGTTTAAAAAGAAACGTGAGACATTTAAATAATTTGTACAAAAAATTGTACCGTGGGCATTTACTACTACGGATTTTTTTTTACGCTGGGACTGACGAGTTGACTTTGTTATGTACAAAATTCTGTACAAGGGGTCTTAGGAGGTTAATAAGTATAAACTTGCCTTTTTCATATCTTTATGGTTACTTCAACTGCATTTCTCGCTGCCGAAGTTCTTACGTTGTAGCTGCTGTTCATTTGTAAACGCGCTAGCAAGGTGTAATCAGATGAGGATGTGTAAGCAGTGTTAAATTAGACGTAACTTTAGGTGCAAACTTGAGACTGAATTTTTTGTAATGGTACAGGGTCAAGACCACGTCAAGCTTGACACTTAAGATTTAAATCCAACTCTATGCCGCTTTCAATAAGAACGGTCCAAAGTAAAAAGAGTCAAGCTTGCCGTGCTCTTGACTGTACTACAAGGATCTTTAGAGTTTGATATATTACACATATATGTATATCAGTGAAAACTACTGTTTTTTATGGCGATTTACACCAAAAGTAACACATTCTTTCGATCAGATACAAACTACATTATAAAGCTGTTCGAAAGGAGGTTTGTATATTTTTTTAACATCTAGCTTATTTTATAATGATTTATATTATATTTATATTTATAGTATTTATGACAAACGTGTGTTTGTGTGTATAATATTGTATGGAAAATAAAAGATCAACATTTAAATAAATTTTTATGAATCGTATCAATCTGTGATATTGAAAATAAACTCGGTTTGTGCAATTATCTAAACATTTATTATCATTAGAAAAATCTACATAACACAAAGCAACCAATTAAAATATGATTAAATAACAAACTAAATATGATATGTGATTAAATTAACTTTGACTTAGCGTATCTGTACTGTGCTGATGTATTACATAAACATTCGTCTTAATAGCAACAACCAAAATAAAAAAAATATTTATAAAAACAATTTTGAAATACATTATAATAGGCATATAATTTTAACAAAATGATATCATGATTATAATTTGGACAACAGTCTCAAAAAATAAGCCAATTTACCATATTTTTATATCCAAAAATAAATTTTCTTATGTACAATATACTTTATAAACTAGAATAATTGCTAAGACGTAAAGTTATTAGTAACGATCAGACATGCATACGGCTTTATTGTTGATTAATTACTCAGTATTTATAGATTGTGATATTACACTACATTATTATTCACAGGTCTTATTTACAGAGCAGTTCCGCTTTGCCCTCAATAGTTTATGCACTGCTAACAGGAATAATGGCTTGCTTAGTTCGATGGATAGTACTACATTAAAGCTACATACGATTAGAAAGAAGATCGCATGAACCGTTTCGTTTCACGAATGTAGTTCAAAACGTCACATTTCTATCGGTGATAATGAGATGAAATTTAGATCAGTACGGATGAAATCTTGGATCCGGGCAGTAATGTGATCCAGATGTGGTTCTGGATGGTGTGGGTAGTTTTCAGGTTAGTTTTGTCTACCTAATTTCAGTGGTATTTTTTATTATTTAAGTTTTCGAGAATATTATCGTGAAATATTAAATAATATTTCAGGATATTTTATGATAATATTCTAGAAAATTTAAATAATAAAACTGCCACTGAAATTATGTAGAGAAAACTAACCTGAAAATACCCACCACACACCACGTGATTTTCTTGTTTTCTATTAGAATAGGTATACAAATAAATTATAATTTATTTATAAATAATCATAACAAAATGTAATAGACTATTATAAATAGGAGCATGGACATCTACCCAAAATACTTTCGCAAAAGTTTCAATGCCTGCTATTAAAATCAACTTAGGGGAAAAAATCTGATCTGTGTAACCGAGCTGAATAAATAGTTTCATTTTGTTCTATGCCGTGCCACTTCTATGGAACAAAATGGTAACTACCAGATCTTGGATTCTTGAGGCAGTCTTCACGAGTATCCTGTAGCTGTTTTATAAGTTACTCCTATAGATTATTACGGAAGCAACTTGCTTGTTTACTTATTGCCTTATTGAAAGACACAATTTCCAAATTGTAATTTAAATGACCGCACATTCTACATTCATCATAATAGCGCAATCACAAAACCTTTATAGATAATTCGGAAACCGACTGTATTATATATTCAAAAAAACGACAAAAAATAACGGTATCAAATGAACCCGTGCAGATTTCATCTACGAAGGTACATGCTGTCTCTGAGATATGACACTATTGAATGAAGATCTAAATCACTATATTAGCTCAATACTCTTTGTATCGACAAAACCGCGTTTGTGAAATACGCGATTGCATCGCGGCACTTGCGATTTATAGGAGGTTGCAACGATGCAAACGCCCGATTGCATCAACGCAAACACGCGACTGCAGTCGCGTATGTTGAATCATTAAAAACGTGCATCGCGTTTGGATCAAATTTGTGCCGCGATTGCGTTTGGTTTGCATCACATTATATCGCTGCTTAAGTCGCGCGTGTGTGTACAGGTAAACGATTACCGACGGCATCGCGATTGAATCGCTGCAGACGCGCTGCTAAAAGTTGCCGTATGTAACCGCCCTTCGACATGAAGTTGACAAGTCCCATGTGCCTGTATATCACCAGCACCTTTACCCTACAAAACCGGAACGCTGTAATGCTCACATACGTGTTGGGCGGCAGTAATAAGTACGGTGGCAATTTCTATTGCGTTACTTCTCTTATCTATTACAAACTATCGTCAATAGGTGTACACACCATGACGTCACTATCCTAGCTCACGAGGTCATTGTCTTGAAAATATGCTATAACTCTTCTATCTCAGTCTTATTCATGAGTAAAACTACCGATACGTTATAGGTTGTTCAGCAAACATAAAATTGGTAAAATAAGACCAGAAAAAGTTATATACCAAATACATTTTATTCTCTCTTAGGTTAATTAAAACTTCGTAATATCTTGACCCCTGAAGCAATCGCATATGTTCCAGGAAACAAAATTGGTCTCGAGAGTAATTTTCACGCGTTGTGTGTAATTTTACATAAAAAACTTACTTGACTAGTCTGTTTTGGAAACTTATATTGGTGAATTTCATAGAAACAACTTCAGCTAATATCGATGTCAACGGTCTAGCGCCACAATTTCAGAGTCCAAAACTGCCGTCCACTAATGAAAACGTGGCTAAGTGACAAATGGTCAAATATCCGTTTTAATTAAAAAAAATAAAGCACACAATTCTCTTTTAAAAACAGTTAAAATTAATTAACGTGTTCAACTTATCGGAACCTAGCATAGCTGAAATATCATCGTAAAATTTCAATTTTCTACAACGGGTTATGGCGACATCTCAAAAAAATATTTTGTCACTTAGCCGCGTTTTAGTTAGCGGACGGCAGTAATAGTAATAGTCTAAGCTTTCTTTTTTTTACTTTAGCAAATTGAATCCTTTCTGAACGACCTAAACGTACCTTACAGTTGTCGAAACGAACCCTAAATAATTTCCAATGAGAAAATATTAGACTCGAAAGGATTGGTACAGTCGTTAAAAAGAGACATGTATATCCCTGACTGATTATGTTGTACTTCTAGCACGTTAATTTGCAGTTTGATTAGCCAGACTCCTAGTACAATATTTGCGTGTGTTGGAACTGATTATGCATTACCCTGGCCCAATTTGTGCCTGTGGTATTTATGCGATTGATTATGCGTTTGATAAGTGTGTATGTATTACGTGAAACGCTGCACATTATTCTTATTGTCGTATCCGCATATATTTTGCATATGCGGACTGATCATGCAAACTCATCCAAGATCCTGAGCATGACATGTTAACAAATTTATTATCACCAACACTTCATTGGTCCACGCGTGTTACTCACACTTTGCGTGCGTAATCACTAATCAATCGCAAATATTCTTCTCACTTTCACTACGTGTACATACAACTTGCATGCAACAAGGAATTTGCGTACAACTACTTAACAAATAATAACACTCAATATCACAAGATTTACAAGCGTTGAACGTAACTACGCGATCTTATTATATTAATCTTAACATTAAAAGGCATTTGTAGAGATCATAATATACACCACTGTTTACGGTGTGACTTCGACCAAGTCTATTGCAAAAAGTGTTACAAATAATTAAGGGCTACTTTACAATAACATTATGTACAGTCAATGCCCTAAAATTCCTGACCCCTAACCGACCATTTGGTTCTGAGTAGATCAGCGTGAAGAAAGGTGTTAGAAACTTAACCTTTAACCTGTAAGACGTAAAATTCATTTTCGTATAACTTTCTTATTGCATCATTAGTGAATGACGTTTTAAGACACTTTTTAAGCCAAACTGATTTTTACCTACATTACAAATAAATACAAATTTCTACCAAAAAGATGGAATTCCTTTACACTTTTCTGTTGGATGCGTCTCAGATCCAATATTTCGGCTAGGAGGTCAGTTATATTAGGGCATCGACTGTAGGTACAAGATTAAGGTACAAAATACATAACACATTTAGCTATAACGCAATGGTATCGATTTTGTGATTCCCAATTCTTAACCCGATTTGAAAGTTCGAAAAATATTTTAATGACTTTATATTAGTACAAAACGGACCAAAATACTTTTAATTATCTGTCAAATTAAGTTAAGAAAAAGCTCGAAAAGATCACTCTGTGCTTCAAAACCACCAACTGTCGAAATTTCGAGAATAAGATTTTCACCCATACATACTAAAGGACGTTCTTATTTTCTTTGTGAATGCAAATGCATGAAAAGGTGACAACTATAGAATAAAAGCAGTAAGATTCAATGTCTAGAATAATCCTGTTGAATGACACTCAACACATGAAACGGAGCTAGCTTCTTCGCTAAAAAGAGCTGTCTAAGGCTATCCAATTCAAGACGGAAATTTTACAAGTCTTGCAAAATTTATTGAAATTAGGTTAAATAACTAATAAGTTACCAATTATTATTGTGTTGAACTTTTACATCGAGACAAGGTGTAGAGTAAATTTAAATTGACTTTTACACAACCAAACTATCAAAAGTCTATTGTAGCTGCCGTAGTACCCAAAATCTGAAACCTTTAGCATTTTAAACTCAGTTTAATACAAGAAGATACGTGTTCAGGGAATAGAAAATTGCTGGCCAAAATGTCGATACCTCGTTTAGATATTGGCAAGTTTATATTGAAATATTTGTAACACTTTACACATATAATATTATAGAATATAAACTCATGAAACTACTATATTAAAGTCTAAATTTAGTAAAGGTGAACACTGCCGATTTTTTTTTAACTCTAATAATATTGCTTTATAAACATTGCTAATTTTCAATTATTTTATAAATCTAAATAATTTACTATTCAAATTGTTGAATTATTCAACACATAGATGGATACATAAAACAAACTTTAGCCTATTTAAAATTCTAGATTTACAACTTAGTATAATAAGACAAGCATGGTAACTCCGTTCAAACGTAGCAGCGTGACTTGTTTGGGTGTACTGATTAACACATTTGAATAATCTCGCAATGCATTCGCGTTGCATAGCGCAAATTGTCTTGCGAGCCTTTCATTATTATGCGAATGTGTGTGTCCGTACAAGGCGCGTGACGGAAGTGTACACATACAAAACGCGCTGCTACTTTCTGTAGAGTTACCATACCTGTCTTATTATACTATGTTTATAAATTAATGAAGTTCACGTAATTCATTTCTACTCACAATTGACTGCTAAATTCATACCAACTTGTATAAAGTATTGCACCGTAATCACTCTCTCGTATATGCACATATTTTGTACCATAGTTCAAGTTTTTACGTTCAGTCATTCGTCATAAGATTTCATTTACTTTGGCACGTTTATTGTGCTCTTTGATTAATCGTACCTTAATAAAAATATCTTTGGGTGTCCACTGTATGAAACGGCGCACATCCGGATGTCCGGTTGAAGTTTTCATAGGGACTACCATATATACCCTACTGCTCCCTTCCGGTGGCATATACTCACTTTTTGTTTAATGTTACACACAACATTAGCATATTCAGAGCTCACATCCGCTTAATATAACAGACATCCCACCAATCTCACAGTCTCAGTTTTAATTCTTAACATTTTCAAAATATCTTTGTATATACTGATCATTAATGTTACTACTTATTATTACTTGTTATTATTATTACTTGTGACTTATTATTCATCATCACGCATCTAAATCTTTGACATTACATTAAGTCATCCTGTGTGGCAAACAGCAAGGAATAAAATTATACGAAAGAGAAAGAGCCGTGCCTCTTATTCTAGTATAATAAGAGCAAGTACTGCAACTCCTGCCTATTCGGCGCCTTAAATGCCTACACTTCACTCCAAAGGTAGGGTTGTCACATTATTATTATTTTAGCAGTACCTACAAGTTATAAACGTAATTTGAAAAAATAAGTTGTTCATCACAGTATTCTCGTGCTATACAGAAATAACTTTTGTTAAATGCAGTAGATATTTAGGTATTGATATTTGTTTACCAACATCACGGATTAATATCCTGGATCATGGAATATGATTATGAAATAAAAATGAAATGTTGAACAATTCTGAATTCGTGGCACTCTTATCCAAACTATCACAAACACAACAATAAACACGTTTACTATTTGATGTCATTTTTTAAACACCCAGTAACCGTTTCTACTTTATAAGTAATGGCGCGTATTACGACTCGCGCTATGCAACGCGAGTGCACCGCGAGATTATGCGAATGCGTGCGTCCGTATACGGTACGCGGCGAGCGCACACATACAAGCCGTGCTGTTACTTTTGTATAGAGTTACCATACTTGTCTTATTTATACTATGCTCTTATGCTTTCATAAAATTCGTCGTCTTCTATGGTCTAACCACTTTTTTTACCTCTAAAATAAATGATCAGACTTAGCAAATAAAGCAGGTATGAAAGGTCATACCGTCGGTGTACAAAGAGCGAAAACGCCATTTCAAAAACTGTTTTAAAATATTTACATCCTGTTAAAATTCAATTTTGGTTTTAATTAACTTTAAGTTTTAAAATTGAATTTAAAACAGGACGTAAATATCTGTCGTGAAAAACTGAAACATGTTCCCCTGAAAAATTTTTCGATATGGCGCTTTTGCCCTTTCTACAAAACACCGACGATATGCGAGAGGTTTGAATCTGTTAGATACCAAACCCGTAAGTTAGCTAATTGTATTGCCAAATTTCATTTGAATATACAGTCATAGATCACACGTGTTCAAATATCACTTACAGCGACATAACTCCTTTACTTCAGTATTTAAGTACATTATACATAGAAGTAACACCCACTAGTTGCTATCCTTAGCTTTTGTTTGTGCATCTAATCATTGACACCTAGACTTTGTTGACTCTTACTTTTTTGAATTCTAAATGTTGACTACACAAGTATATGGGAAACATGTGATGTGTGGTAGCTAGCCATCTAGACGAGCTCCTCGCCACTCAAAAGGAAAACGCGAAACGACGATTCGTCTACTGCTGAGTCTGTATACATTAACTCCTCCTATAAAAACATTGCTCTATGAATTATCCAAAAACCACAAATCACTTATTTGTTATTCATACAAAGATCTAATAAACACAAAGAAAAATTCCTTCTATCCGACTGGATTCGAACCAGTGTCTGTTGCTTCAACGTGGCTACCGCTCTTGAACTGTGTTACAGATCTGGCGTTTAAATCCAACACAAAGATCTGTTACAAACACATAATGAAATTTGCAAGGTGAGGCAACAGCAACTGGTTCGAGTCGAGTCAAACAGAAGGAATTTTTCATTGCAGTTGTCCGATCTTAACATCAATAATAATAACAAACTAGTGGAGTATTTTCAACAAAAAATATTTGATTTCACGATAGTAAATACACCGTGATATTCAATAAAATAAATAAGTATCATATATTCAACTTTTGCACATAAGCTTCTCTAAAGACCCACAATTATAAGGCGAGTTGATGACTGCTAATAAGATGCACAAGAAGTCAGAAGGACTATGCTGTCCTGGATTTGTCTCTCATACGTTGTTTACTACACCCATGGTCGTATACGAAGACTTGAAACGCACACGGCTTATAGTTAATGCTATTGTGATGACAAATTATTGAATAGGAAATGAATTTTTTTTTCGAATCTAAATCGCGTATATTTGTTTTTTCAAACAAACCAACGTATCGGGTACTTTACAGGTCATGGCTAACTGAAATGGTAAAGTCATCAACCAGTTACATCTAATATTAATGTAAACCACCCTATTTTTTACTATTGTTACAATTAAATAATCAATTAAACACCTTATTTTTTAATTTCCCAAAGAAATATTTCAATTTACGTTACATATTACAAATTATTTTATTTTTACAATATAATTTTTTTATTAAATTCAATTTGGTAATTAATTATTAATAATAATTAGAATAAATAAAACATATTAATTAGTCTTACTATATCTGCTTGGTTTGCATTATTGTATTTTTTGTATAATATCAAATTAATGAGAGCGAACAAGTCGTGCGGCTGATTGTTAAGCTACACGCCTGTCCATGATAGTTGCAGTGCCACACTGAGCTTTAAATCCCAAATATCTGAAGAGCACTGCCACAGCGTCCAACACCCTGAGACATAAGTTCACAAGTCCCATGTGCCTGTAATTTCACCAGCACCCTTACCCTTTAAAACCGAAATACACTAACATTACCGCGGCAGAAATAGGTAAGGTGGCAGTACTTCCCTGGACGGCCTCTTACACAAGGAGCTCTACTGCTTCTATAATAATATTAGACGTAACTGTTTGATGACTTTACCATCTCAGTCAAACGTGACCACGGGACCTGTAAATCGATACCTCCAATGAACACTATGCCATCTTTATTTTTTGGTCATCTTCTGTTATTTTTGTAAACAGCCATATTTATTTGCCTTAGTAAGTATGGCTGCTTAATATAAATATAATCTTAATCGTGCTCCCCGAATTTTGTGAAAAAAAAGGAACAAGAACAAAAAAAAACGAATGTTGTAAAAAAAAAAGAAACAAAAAACAAAATAAAAACAGAGCAGGTCCAAAAATTAAGTTGGCTTAGTGTTCATCGAAGGTATCGAAATGGCCCGAAACGTTGGTTTGTTTAAAAAACAAACACACACCATTTAGATCCAAAAAAATAGTTGCACTAAGAGCTCGATATATGCTTCAATACTTTTTGACTCAATGACATATTAGTTACTATAAACTACTTTTGTTATGATTTCGGTACAAAAGAGACTTACCTGCATGAGATCAATGGTAGGGTGTGTGTCGAGCAGACCGAGGTCTGTATCAGTCTGCGGCACAACTAGTAACGGTCCAGCGCCACCCATGTGCCTGTAAACCATTTTTTTATAGGTGGTAAGGATGGAACATGCGTAACTTGAAGTCCTCCATTCTCAAACGTCCATGTTGTTACCATGTCTAAATGACCGACTGGTATCCTCAGGATAGAGAGTTTTCATTTTAGTTACGAACCTTACCCTCCCAATGGACCTCAACAGATTTCTGTTATGGATAAAAGTATACAAAATCGGCTCATGTACAGAGCCCTGTGGCACTTCGGCCGTTTCCTCATTTGTCGGTACGGTAAGCGCTCGGTAAACTTTCGGTACTACGTATACCGAGCGTGCCGATACCGTACCGCTACCACACCGACAAGTCAGGAAATGACCTTATGTACATATTTCGTAGAATCTCTACTGCACGTTATTTGTTAATGTTTATTACTTGAAAAATAGAAAACTTTTTGACTAATCGTTGCTTCTTGCTATGCTAAAATGATAAATAAGGTAAGAACTTACTCGCTATCCTCGTTATTCAATACGTTGCCATGGAGGAATAGATCACTTCGTATCGTGTAGATATTGCTCTCGGAACCTTCCGACATCTCCACCTATTAAAATTAAGCAAAATAACTAAATTAGATTTAAAATTTTAAAAGGGGCACCGCCACTACGCCTGTCACTCTGAGACATAAGTTGACAAGTTTCATGTGCCTGTAACTTCACCAGCAGCTTTACTCATCAAAACTTTCTAATTAACATATGGATTGATAAGAAAACTATAAGTTGGATGCTTAGAGGTAATTTATGGCTAATGGGTGTTCCTTTAAAATAGTGTATTTTGTTAGCAGCTAATTAAAAGTGACATAATTCTTATATGAATTTCTGGCACGGTAAGGATAGCTTGCTAGGAGATAAATTTTATCGTGTGATCGTTCACCTGGACGTCTTCTTCTAGAACAAACTCTGGATCTTCAACGAGGGCCGGTCTCACCGCTTCGATCGGCATAGCGTCGCGCGTCAACGGCCACGTGCAATGCGTCCGCGCCGCGCGATCCTCACTCGCCATAGCTTCGAGTGATATACGAGTTTCACTCTCCAAACAATCCGAACTTAAACTCATCTAGGTATAAAAGGAATACATATTTATTGTATTTTTTATACAAACAGTTTCTTTAGGAGGCAATGCAATTTGAATTTTCTTCAAAATCAATAAATAAATAAATTGATACACGAAAAAGAGATATTTAACGGGATATTAAACGGAAATAGTAAATTTACATATATTTTGCATGTTTGTGACGATTTTTATTTGATTGAAAATCACGATGTTTTTTGCTACAATGACATTCATATATTGTTTTTGTAAAAATATTCCACTAGTTTGTTATTATTACTGATACAAAAATCGAACAAACAGAAAAAAAACTTTTCAATCCAACTGGACTCGAACCAGCGTGTCTGTAGCCGCGAATATGCAACTCGTGGTTACAAACACAGGCAACAGATGCTGGTTCAAGTCCAGTCAGACCGATGGAATTTCTTTGTGTTTGTTCAGTCTTTGTATGAATAATAATTGTGATGTTGTTTAAAGTCAATGCGTATTTAAGCGAAATTAAAAGGTTAAATGTTATATACGACGATGACTCACCGGAAGAGAATCTTTCCCTTCACCATCAGAACCAAGTGATCCTTCAAAGGAGGCTTCTGTGAACACGGTAGCATCCCCGTGCACTTTTTGCAAGTGCGTCGACATCGCCTCAGCACTCATGAAAGTACGCGAACAACCTGGCCATATTAACATATAGTAAACCAGGATTTTTGACTAATGAAAAAAATTCTAACGTATTTACCCTATTCGGGTAAGCCCTACCGGGGTAGCACCTAGTAGAGTACCACTGGAATTGGTACGTCTCTGGTCGCAGTGTGAACTGTCGGTGCGTAATAAATAATAAAGCATTATTGATAAGCAGGATTTAAGGTAAAGCTGAGGGAGGGTACCCGTGTGTGGACAGATACACTTGAGGCGATGGTGCCGAGCAGCATGGTCACGTAGATGCTCGCGGCGGCGAAAGGCGCGGCCGCAAGCGCCGCACGCGTGCCGCCGCTCGCCCGTATGCCGCCGCGCATGCCGCAGCAGTTTCGACGCGGTGCGAAACGACCATCCGCAATTCTGCAATCGCAACACTTTCCATGACGATATTATTTTAATTAATATTAAGAACATGCATTTGCGTAACGCTAAAGCATTCTCGATATACACAACCACGTAAGTATCTGTACAGTGGATCATAGGCCACAGCGGCTGACGTGGCAATGACGCACCCGATAAACTGGCCAGAAAAAGTCTGAGATGTACGCTGTAAGACCAGAACCCATAGTAGCCCTTCCCTATCAATGGTCAAGAGCAACTATACACAAAGGTACAAAAATTTTTGATTATGGACAACCCTTATGGTTTGTAGACAAGCTAGGGAAGCAATCCCCGTGCTCAATGCCAGTCTATCTCGTAATTTCTTAAGCTCAAAAGGAAAACCGCCTGCCGCTCTAACAAGTCATGGTCCATATAATAAACACCTTTTGAAACTGGTATCACGGACAGCTCCATGCAACCTCTATTCAAAGCGTGCACGGAACGGGAGAGATAACGGCCGCGCACATCCTACTGCAATGCTCCGGCGTGGCCAACTATAGGGCGAAGTACCTTGGGGTACCAAGATCGCTCCCCGGAGTCTTCAGCAAACCACGCAAAACAGGCGCCTGGACGTCGAGTTGCAGACACCAGCACGTTATACCATACCATAACTAACAAACTACACGTGTTTTCAACTTCAATTACACCCAAATAAACATACCTAATCAAAATTTTCCCATTAGAGAATACATAAATCAAATATCCAATATACAATTAACTCACAGGGTATCGACACGGATAAGGCTTGTCGCCGGTATGTGCGCGAGTATGTTCCCGTAATCGGCAGGGCTGCCGGAAGACGCGGTCGCAACCCGGCCACGCGCAGGCCAGCGTCGGCGCAGGTTGCCCGCAGTGCGTGCGCGAGTGCGCGCGCAAACCGATTGCCCAGAAGAAGCGCCGTGAACACACTGAGCAACTATACAGTAATTTTTCATTTCAGTTTTGTACAATTTGCTTGCTATAAGTCTGGTCCTCCAAGATTGCAGGACAGCAGGATATGGTTCAAACTTCTACGCAAAAAACGTGCAAGCAGATGTGGTGTTACCGAAACAAATCCATTCATACATGCATACCATCAAACAATCTTTCCAGTAATTAAGAGGCCCAACAAGGAAACGCCCCGAGAAAGAGGTCACAGTGCGTGACCGGCGTCCGGCAGACTATCGGAAGGCAGAGCTTATAGCAGTTAAACAGTACTAAATAACTCATTTTTATTACATCTTACATACATATACTGTGCATCCTCTGGGTTGTGGTCTTTGTCAAGATGATGCAGAAGTGCATCCTTGGTAATGAATACCCTGCCACAAGACATTATGCCACCATCCACCTCCTTTTTCACAGGGCATTCTACTGATGAATGCCTGGTCAGTTTGGCACCACTGGTAGGGTTATGAGCCTCTTTATGCTTGTTTAATTTTTGTTCACTTTTAAAACGTTTGCTACACCCAGGTTCAGTACACTGGAAAAATACAATTATCAATGTACACATCAAATATTGTTAAATACTCTACAAAGGTTATATGTGTACTCTGGGAGTTTTCATAGATAGAGGTTTTTACTGCTATTATATTAGCGTATAGTTTCATTATTATGTGATATGGAAAATTCAATATACCTTATAGTTCATGGTGCTAGTGAAATATTCAAAACACAAATTCTGTGTAGGTGTCACACTGTGACTAGCCTCATGTACAGGAATCATTTCTTGCACACTTGATATGGCAGCTAATGGCAGTGAAGTGTTCAATGAAGGAGTTTGTGCCATACGTAAGCTGCCTAGTTGGGATCCATCAACTAAAATAGGAAATATCAAATATAAAATAATTACTCTTTTATAGTTTTCATTTCAGTCAAACAATCTAAATACTAGAAATAGATTATATAGCCCCATATATTGAAAGACATGAAATCAACACTAAGATTTGACACAATTATCAATGTATTCAACCCATTAGTAGAGCTATCAATATTTAAATATCAATTTATAAATCAGCCAAGGAGTAAGCTGTTAGACCTTAAGGCCCAGAGCGAGAAGTAGAGAAGTTTCTACAAAGCTGTGGCCATTGTTATTTAAAAATCTCAGAAATAGAGTTAAAAAAAGATAGGCCGACAATGCAGTACTCAAAAATGTAATTCCTTACAATCTTCAATCACAATTTCCTGATCCTCATCCCCAAAATTAAGACACCATTTATGACTGTCAATGGCTTCATTGTCAATTTTTATTTGAGAGTCCTGCAAAACAATTAATGGATTTTAACTTTTAAAACAAAATATAAACGCACAACAATGAGTAGAAAAAAGAAAACCAAACAAAACAATAGATGTTATGTCTCAGTGATACTGGAATGTACAGAAATTGTATTTTTTTCTTCTAACTTTACAATTAATTATATTTGTATTTCTATAGTATTTGCGTAAAGAACTCAAAGAACAAGAAGTGTTAACAACTTAAATACTAGACTTAACAGATGAAGTACATATAAGAATGACTAGAACAAAACCATTTTTAATTAAATTTTAACTCTACAGAAGTGAAACAAAATTTTGTTGACAATTTAATAACAATTTTTAAACAATTACATTGAACACTATATTTCACACATTTTAGAAATTGCTAAAAATTACATCACAAGAAATTTCCTCTTTTACAATACAGACATAAGTAACTACTCACCACAGTTCCTAAAGGTTCTTCTCTTAATACATTTAGCTGCAACTTTGGTTCCTGTTCAATTGTAGAAGTGACTAGAGGTTGTTCACCGGGAGATTCGCTAGATACTGAAATATTTTGTTTTGTCGGAGGTTTGGACCGCCTTCTAAGTATATTAGGCTTCTGAAATTTCCTCCTACCATTACCACCATGTTGTTGTGAAACAAACATAGTCCTCATTTCTACAAAACACCCAGAATTCCAGAGCAGGAAGTCGTCATTCTAAGCGTCATAGAAACTAGTAAAACTGCAACAAGAACAACAAATAACCTCACCAAAATGCTTTTGCCTCTAGTTGTATTTATTGAGAACTCACAAAATTCAAATTTAATTATCCCTGAAAAACGACACTGTTCAATTTATTTCATAAATAGAAAAAGTTAAATTATTTGCACTAAATTCATGATTTAAACAATCACATTTGCAAAAATCATCCGAAACAACCAACACTACCACTGATAAATGAAATATTTATTTGACAATGACTAGAGATGGTCATTAATACAACAGCAGATTACGTAATGCATTATTTTTATGCAATGTATAACTCATTTTCGAACAACTGTCGAAACTGCTGTTGTTATCTGCTATTTTGCTATTGCGTTGCGATGCGATTACCACAGACTACTTAAGTGAACTACGTTACGATTACGGTGCGCGAACAAGCAAGTATGTAATAGTCAAAGATTTAGTACATATATTGGCTATTACAATAGGTAATGAAAGAGAAATTGCGCTAATCAAATGATTAGACGATGCCATGATTTGCAAATTTTACGATTAATAAATATCTTTCAGTGGACAAATAGAGTTCTCTTTCTCATTTTTTATTTTATTTTTATCTATTATCTTAGGGTCGTATTCTAGAACTCTACTCAATGCTCAAGTCAGGATTTAAGTATGGTTTAAAGCACTCGAAATCATACTCAAGTCCCTGCCATTAGGGTCGTATTTCCAGTGCTTATGTTTCCAGTGCAATCCTGACTTGAGCATTGAGTAGACTTCTGGAATACGACCCTAAGTGGTTCATAAAAATCTAAGGTTCGTATTCTAGAACTCTATTCAATGCTCAAGTCAGGATTTGAGTATGGTTTAAAGCACTCGAAATCATACTCAAATCCCTGCCATTAGGGTCGTATTTCCAGTGTTTGTGTTTCAATTGCAATCCTGACTTGCTTGAGCATTGAGTAGAGTTCTAGAATACGACCCTATGGTCTAGAATACGACTCTTAGGGTCGTATTCCAGAACTCTACTCAATGCTCAAGTCAGGACTTGAGCAGACTTGAGTATGATTTCATGCACTGGAAATACAACTCCAATGGCAAGGACTTGAGTATGATTTTCAGTCCTCACTGCAATACTCAAGTCCTGACTTGAGTATTGAGTAGAGTTCTGGAATACGACCCTTAGAACGAGCTGGCAACGTTCAATCGTGCATCCCACTCGAACTTGTACTAAAAGTAGTGAAAGATCGCTATTTGTCCCGCTCGCACCGTTCCTACTGAATATAAGACAGGTGAACTAATAACGCTGACTGTTCCTAGTTCTTACTGAGCTCAAAAGAACGATGAACTAATAAAACCGTCCAAGACGAACTAGTTCATGTCGGTCAGTGTCGGGAATATATTCCTAATAGTTCGTAGTTCATGAACTATACAAGCCTAGAGTGAGTGTTTTTTTCGCACCCACCGGACTTGTCGCGAACTTTGCGCCGCGCTTGCATCCGACGCAGCCTTTGCCAAAGTTGGCGATAACGCCCCCTTATGGGCGCTGCAGGCCTAAGGCGCGCCTAGGCCTAGGCCTAGGGCGGTAAGAGACCCAGAAAAAAAATGAGGGCGTTGTGTAGAGGCTTAGGGGGATATTTGTAATTTCATCTAGGAAGACTCTAAGGGTCGTATTCTAGAACTCTACTCAACGCTCAAGTTAGGATTTGAGTATGGTTTAAAGCACTTGATATCATACTCAAGTCCCTGCCATTAGGGTCGTATTTCCAGTGCTTGTGTTGCCAGTGCAATCCTGACTTGAGCATTGAATAGAGTTCTAGAATACGACCCTAATTCTAGAACTCTACTCAATGTTCAAGTCAGGATTTGAGTATGGTTTAAAGCACTCGAAATCATACTCAAGTCCCTTACATTAGGGTCGTATTTCCAGTGCTTGAAATCATACTCAAGTCCCTTAAATTAGGGTCGTATTTCCAGTGCTTGAAATCATACTCAGATCCTGACTTGAGCGTTGAGTAGAGTTCTGTAATACGACCTTTAGACACCGACTGAGCTCTCGACTCTCGACTACAACTTGTGACCATCAACTAATATTAATTAAGAGATTGCTCAAACTAAATTGGTTCGATATTTATCTCCGTGTAGTTCATATATCTGTCTTGTTTTATCATTGACTTACAATTATATGGACGTCGGGTCCGCGCTAAAAAGTGTCCGAACTTATAGGGCGTTAAAATCGTATACAGAGCGTCATTCACGCTTCAGTCTTCGTTTGTTCGACTGACAGCGAAATTAGACAGTACTGCGATGACATTACAATTTAAATTCAACGTTTTAGCTTTTTCATATTTTCTTTATATTTTTTACATGTCACTACGTTTAAATAGGTTGACTTAGGACATTTTTTTCGTAGTTTTTGTATTAGACCCGTCGTCCATTTATTTGTAAGTCAATGTGTTTTATTGAATAAATAAAATAAAAATCATGTCAATCGGTCGCTCCGTTTCGAAATGACAGTAGATACAAACAAACAAATAAAAAGGCATCAGACACGGTTTCGCATTTTAATACTTATTAGTATTCCTAGATAGGCAATTTTCTTCGGTAATAGACCGCCGGCAATCATGTTTTAACAAGTTTTTGTTAAATAACCCGATTTGTGCATTCCTGTATCAATCGTTTAGTTCATAGAATACTAGTTCTTAATTGTTGAGTACGATTGAGCGTCAAATGAGATAAACGAGTTTATGAATGTTTGTCTTATTCCTGTCGGTGCGTGCTGCTTATGCAATCCTATATAAACAACGTAATATTTATTTCATTTTCATTAGCGGTTTCGCGCGTAATAGATAAGCAGTACTTAAGTACAACACTTACTTACGTATTTCTCAAAACAAAATAATGTCGAAAGTAAAAAAGAAGAGACTGCAATACTGTGTGTAATATATTAAATTCGGATTCATTGAAAATCCCACAAACCCATCGTCGCCTTTGTGCTTTCTATGTCTAAAAACATTTTCGAATGAAGCAATGCAAAGCAACCTTTAACCTAGATCATTTGAATAAAATGCATCCAGATAAGAAAGACAAGAATGTAGCATATTTTGAAGGCCTAAAGAAGAAGCAAAATACTCAGCCAAGTGTAGCAAAACTCTTTTCGGCGGCTGCTAAGCAAGATGACGAAGATTGTTAATTGCTCAAAAAGGCAAACCACACAACAACGGAGAAGAGTTAATTTTGCCAGCAATAATTACTGTGCTTCATAAACTGGCCGCAGATAGTATCTGAAAAATTCCTTTGAGTAATAATTCTGTGCAAAGACGAATTGATGAAATGGCTGAAAATATTGAAGAATCATTGTGCAATCATCTGAGGGCTAGTAAATTCTTAATTTAGCTCGATGAGTCCAGTTTACCAACTAATGAAGCTTTGTTGCTGTCGTACGTGGGGTTTATTAAAGATGAGAAAATATGTGAAGAACTATTGTTTGCTAGAAATTTAGAGACCGATACAAAAGGCGAAACCACATTCAATACATTGGAAAAGTTTTGTGATGAGAAAGAGATTCCCTTGAAAAATATTATATCAGTTCCTTCGGATGGCGCTTCGGCTATGACAGCGTGCCATAAAGGCTTCATAGCGTACTTAAAAAATTAAATTCCAGATGTCCTTGCTGTACAATGCGTTATTCAAAGATATTTGGTTGCTAGAAATTTTTATTAGGACAACACTATGTAGTCCGTTGCTTAGCGACCAGCTATTGTTTTGTCAGTGTTGTATTGTAAGAAAAATTGATATTGAAGTATAATCTTGCAATATGCAGACGATATCGCCCTGTACGCTTGTTCCAAATCTTTTTCAGATACTGAAAGACGCCTCAACTCTGCCCTTTTTTACCTAGACTCTTGGCTTAGCGATCACGGCCTCTCTCTTTCAGCTAACAAAAGCACAGCTGTCGTTTTTTCCCGCAAGAGACGCCTCCCTGAAACTGAAATACATGTTAATGGGGAAATCATAGAACTGAGGGAAAAAGTAAAATTTTTAGGCATTATTTTGGACTCAAAATTATCTGGCATCCATCACCTCAACTATATTTGTCAAAAAGCTGAAAAAAGCATAAATGTCCTACGTGCACTTTCTGGTGTTCGTTGGGGATCACATCCGTATAACCAAAAGCTCCTGTACAACGCAATCATTAGAAGTCATTTTGATTATGGCGGCTTCCTTCTGGAACCATGCAACAAAATAGCCTTGGCTAAGATGGACAGAATCCAGGCAAGATGCCTGAGAATAATCACAGGTACCATGAAATCCTCACCAACAAACGCTCTTCAAGTCGAATGTCTGGAGCCCCCTCTACATCTACGTAGACAATTCCTTGCTAATAGATTCCTCTTCAAGATCTTTCAATATTCTTCTCACCCTTTGCTTCCCGTATTGCAATCCTTGTCGGAGATTATCCCTTCCTCCAATTATTGGTCACACAAGAAACCCCCCCTTCTTATCAACAGTTTTAACAAAATTTCCAATCTCCCATTCCCTATTTACCAAAATTATATGAACCCGTTGTTTGAAACTGATTTTAAATGTTTAACGTTTCGCCCAACAGTCTATCTTAGTTTTGGCATCATGAAAGATACCCCTGGAGCAAACCAAGTCTTCAACGATATAGTTAAGAGAGAATGGCATGACTGGACTACTGTTTTTACCGACGCTTCAAAATTACACGAACATGGCGACTTGGGAGCCGCGGTTTGGTTCCCCAAGTTCAATGTCGTACTCAGTTTTAAATCCCCCTATCTGAATTCGGTCTTTTCGGGAGAGGCAATTGCAATACTCGAAGCCATTTTATATATTGAGTCCCATAAAATTAATAAATGTTTGGTTTTCTCAGACTTACTAAGTTGCCTCCAAGACATTATTCAGCTACCGTTTCATTCCAAAGACAATTTCTCCATCACCCTCCAAATTAAGGAAGCTCTGTACCGATGTCATTGTGCGGGAATTGAGGTAACTCTGGCCTGGATTCCCGGTCACAGTGGGATTAGTGGCAACGAAGCAGTAGACGCCTTTGCAAAGGATGCGACAAGAATTGGCGTATGCAAATACTGTAAGTGCTTTCCCAGAGATCTGCTCGCCATGACCAAACCCCAAATGCTAGCCTCCTGGTCGGTCCTTTGGCAGGAATCACGACAAACTGTTGGTAGACACTATGGTAATCTCCAACCAAATCTACCCACTAAACCCTGGTTTTTTAAACGTCGCGATTTGCCTAAAAACATCACTTCCACTATTATTCGTTTGCGCTTAGGCCATGTTTGCACACCTGTATTTTTGCGTAAAATCAGAGTTCGAGATCACTCTCTGTGCGAGTGCGGCCTAGAAGACGGTACCTTGGAACACATTTTTTTCAATTGTCCAAATATTGCTGTTCCACTTTATAACTTACTTTCTCCAAAATTCCCCCGCCCCATTAACATAAACAACCTCTTAACTTTAGTGTTCTCCCCCCATATTGTTACTCTATGTAAATTTATCCACTTAAATAACATATATTTATAAATATTGTTTTGCTGTTTTGTTTTACATTCTCAACTGAGTACTCCCGTAGTCCAACTTACCAACACCGGTTAATGTCCTATTAGAGCTTAGCGAAATTTTTTTTTTTTGTTTCGTTTTTTTTCTTTCAACTGTGACATTGGCAAAATCATCAGTTCTCATATTGATGGAGCCATAAAAATAAAAAGTGAAGTGAAGTGATATTGAAGTATACACTTATTATCGTCAAAGGTTCTTTATTTTAAACTATATATCTCCTACCGCTTTATCTTTAACATGGTAGCAGAGATTTAAAGATACAGTGTAAATGTAAATAAGTTTTATTTCTGGGAAAGAAAATATTTTACTTTTCTTGCAAAAACTTGTAACTAGCCTGACGTCACTATGGAAAAGGGGATTGCAGAGGCATCGAAAGTTCAAGTAATGCACCTGGATGACAAAAACTATAAGCATTGGAGATATAGAATTGAAACAGTGTGCAAGGCAATTCCCGGAGCTGATGATATTTTAAACGGAAAAACCCGTAAGCCTGTTGAACCATTGATAAATAAGATAAAACCTTTAGAATAACGGTTTTATTCCACAAAAATATTTGACAACAATGAACTAAAAGACTATCAAATGTAAAGTTCAAAATAGACATTAGAAACTAAAGAGTTAATATTATGACATTCTATCAGCCTTGAAAATAATCCTCGAGGTGGGCTGGTGGGTGTCGCACTCTTGCAGACCTTCGAATCTCTGGTTCGGTGTCCGCTGGAGGTTCAGGGTGGTCTATGTCTTCAGTCTCATTTTCGGAATCAGAAGATCTGGTTTCAGAATTTTGAGATGTAGGATTAGGGTCCTCCACTTCATTGGAGTTTTCGTTAAGAGCCTCAATATTTGTTGTTTCATCTACCATTATCTGACTATCTAGGCTCAATGGTGCTAAATGTCGGTTGGAAACAGTTGTCTCTCGACCGTCCTCATAGCGAACATAGGAGTAGTCTGGATTTACGTGCAGAAGAGTTACTTCTTCAACAATAGGTTGATACTTGTTAGTACGATTAAATTTTCTCATTAATACTTTTTCTGATTCCGTCAGCCAGGTAGGTATAGATACTCCATTCGATGACCGCCTGGTATGTGTAAACATTCTTTCGTGCGGCGTACAACAAGTCGCTGTGCACAACAAAGATCTGATACAATGTAAAGCTTGGTTTAGAACCTTTTCCCAATTTTCTATTGGTAGGTTCTGCGAACGTAGAGCCAATTGCACTGATTTCCAAAGAGTTCCGTTAAAACGTTCAACCTGTCCATTTCCTCTTGGGTTATAAGGTGTAGTTCTGCTCGACGCAATACCACGTGAATTTAAGAAGTTCTTTACTTCAGTAGATATGAAACAGGTTCCTCGATCTGAATGTAGATAAGACGGCATACCGAATAGCATAAAAATTTCATTTAAATGTTTGATTACCGTTGAAGAGTTCATGTCTGGGCACGGAAATGCAAATGGAAAGCGTGAGTATTCGTCTATTACTGTAAGAATGTATTTATTTCTCGTATTAGAAGGTACTGATCCTTTGAAATCGATACTCAGTCTCTCCATAGGCGACGTAGCTTTTATCAAAACTGGATCAATTGTAGGTTTGTAAAATCTTGGCTTTATTTCGGAGCAAATTTTACACGACTTAGTCATGTTTTTAATTTCTTCCGTAGAATATGGTAGATTCTTTGATTTAAGCCAGTGCAGTGGGTCATTCGTGCTATGCCCGGATGACATAAATCATTGTGAATATAACTTTTCGTTTCGTGTCGATATTGAGCTGCATACGCGTGAGAGTGCATCCGCTGCATCATTTTGTTTGCCTGGACGATATATAATGTCATACTTAAATGGCGCCAACTCCAGACGCCAGCGTTGTATTTTCTCATTCTTTATTTTGCTCGTTATTGTTAAACATGAAAGATACTGATCTTTGGTCAGTGATAAGCCGGAAGGGTTTGCCGATAAGAAAATGACGCCATTTCTTCAGCGATTCGACGATAGCGTAAGCTTCTTTTTCTATCGCCGAGTGATTATGTTCACTTTTGTTTAGCATTCTGGAGAAAAAGGCAACAGGCCGAGAAGCCTGTGACAAAGTTGCTGCGATAGAATAATCTGACGCGTCTGTTTCCACGGTTAATGGTGCGTTATGATCAATTGCATGAATACTTGATTTGGCTATATCTGATTTGAGTACATTGAAGTTTTTGACTAAATTGTCGCTTAATGGAAATATCCTTGCATTAGTAAGATCGTGAACTTTTTCTGAAAAATTTGGAATCCACTTGCTATAGTGTGCAAACATTCCTATCACTCTTCTCAGTGATGATAGATCAGATGGTGGTGGTAAGTTCAGAAGTGGGCGCAAGCGGTCTGCATCCGGTTTGATAATGTTGTCTTCTATGTTATAACCCAGAATATTAATAGAGTTTTGTGAGAACTTACTCTTTTCTTTGTTGAGAGTGAGGCCATATTTCTGGGCAGCTGCCAAGAATTTCTTAAGATTTTTGTCATGTTCAAGCTGGGTCTTGCCACAAATTGTAATATCATCAAGATAAGCGAACGTTCCCTTGAGATCTTCTTTTCGGATTACCCAATCAATCGTCCTTTGAAAACTTGAGACGCCGTTTGTAACGCCAAATGGAATTCGGAGAAATTGGTATAAATTTCCTAAAGCTTCAAAAGCCGTAAAATGACGTTCTTCGAGCAAAATAGGAACTTGATGATAAGCACTTTGCAAATCTATAGCGCTAAATATACGATATCTAGATATTTGTGACACCAGCTCCTCTATGTTTGGTAGAGGGTACGCATCTAAATGAGTATATCTGTTTATAGTTTGGGAATAATCGATGACAAGACGCTTCTTATGGTTGACATTTTTTGTGATAAGGACTTGAGCTCTCCAGGGGGACGTGCTTTCTTCGATTATTCCATCAGCCAAAAGTTTCCTGACTTCCTCTTTTATAAATTCTTTGTCATCCTCACTATGTCTTCTCGATTTTATAGCAACAGGCTTAATTTCAGGACATACATTAGAAAACAGTGGTACGGCAGGCACGGTAGCTGCAGCAACACTGCATACATTAACTTTAATAGGTTCCTTCAAACCACCAAAAGAAAACTCTAGTGAAGAGTGTTGATGCAGAATATCATGTCCAATGATGAGATCAGCGCATAAATTCTTTACTATGAGTAGATTCAGATTTTTGTACTCATAATCTCCAATTTTGGCAGAGACGTTCCCTTGAACGTACGCCGTTACAGTAGCCTTTCTAAGCGAGTCCGGCGATGCCGCTATTATACAAGCACTAGTTTTATTACTTTCAGTTTCGACTACTGATGCAGCAGTCCGTTTCTTGCTACGACATACTTTAGCTAAGTGTCCTTTTTTTTCACAAATCTGACAGGTAGAGTCGAGTGCTGGACAATCTTTTCTAGGATGCACGCGACCCCCACAGAAGAAACATTTTCGCTTGAAGAAAGACGCTGCTGATGATTCTTCTTCCTTTGATGAACCTTGTACAGCATTCAAATTTGAAGATTCGTAACTCTGTGAATTCATCTCCGCCATTTCTAACGATCTCACCTGATCATAGGCTTTGTCAAGAGATAGAGTTAGATTTTCAAGCAATCGCTGCCTGATTTTACTCGAATTGAGACCAGTAATAAATGCGTCTCGAATATTATCGGATTTAATCGTTTCAGCATCAACCTTTCCAAATGGACAATCTTTCGCTAATAATTTTAGCACCTGCATATAAGTATCAATGCTCTCATCGTGCTTTTGTCTCCTAGTAGCTAGTATATACCTGGCATAGACTACATTTTTTGGTTTATTGAATAGTTTGTCGAGTATGTCTAGGGCTTCTTCATAGGTAGTACATTCACTTATGTATGCGAAGATTGTTGGAGATACGTGGTTTATAAGTATGTCTATTTTCATACCAGCTGTTTCTTTTGTAAAGTTCGATAAGAAACTCTCGAACGTCCTCTTCCAGTGCTCCCATTCCTTGGAGGCGGAGTTACCGGTTGGATCAATGTTCAGTTTATCGGGACGCAGAAACCGTTCCATTTTATTTATTCTGATAATATTTTTGTGGAATAAATTGATAAATAAGATAAAACCTTTAGAATAACGGTTTTATTCCACAAAAATATTTGACAACAATGAACTAAAAGACTATCAAATGTAAAGTTCAAAATAGACATTAGAAACTAAAGAGTTAATATTATGACAACCTTCAGCGACTGGTGT